GAGGACAAACAAAAATTTTTTAATCACAGAAAATGGGAAATTTTTGCATCATAGAAAATGGGAAAAAATTGAAGGGGAACTATTATAATTTTAATCATAGAAAATGGGAAAATTTTCATTACAGAAAACGAATATATTTCGAGGACAAACTAATATTTTTTAATCACAAAAATGGAAAAATTTTCATTACAGAAAACGAATATATTTCGAGGACAAACTAATATTTTTAATCACAGATTATTATTATTATAATCAAAAAGAAGCGCTAAGCCACAAGGACTATACAGCGCTGCAGGGCAGGAAGGAAGCGAGGGCATCAGGTGGCAAAAGGAGAGGGATGACAACAGGTTACGGAAAACAGGGGGGCAGGGGAGAAAAGGGGTAAAGGGCGCAAAGACGGAAAGGGGGGGTGAGGGGTCGAAAAGTACATCAAGTTTGGGGAGTAAATCATCTTTCAAAAGTCATGAGAGAGTCGGGATTAAAGGAGGGTCCATCACAAAAAGGGGAAGGAAAGAAGAGTAGGAACGAAGACACGTTGGAGGTAAATCTGCGTGCTCGTTGATAGAGAGGGCAGTCAACAGAATGTGGAAAACGTACTGGAACTTGACACTGCTCACAAGAGGAACAGGGTCCTCTCCATGAGATACCCATGAAAAGACGAGTGTGGCCAATGCAAAGGGGGAAGAGGGGCCCCCAAACCTCGGCACTGATACAAAAGAGCCAGTAACCAGCTGGGTTTAAAATAAAAAGAAGTTTGTTACCGACAGAGTTGACCAACGTTTTTTTCCAAGGGGTGCAAGGTGGGTAGCTATTGCAGCAAAATATCCAAAAGGGAACACCTCATAGAAAGGGTAGGTCATATACGCGACCGCCACATGTCTGCTTTCATTGCCCGTACTCACATACCAGGGACCCAACAAAAAACAATTCTTTATGTTTGTAAAGATACGGCGACCCAAATTGGATACGGAAAACTGGGGGATGAATGATAAAATTTTTCGTATAGCCGTAGAGCACAAAGGGGAGTCTGAGACTAACAAATGATAAACACAGGCATAATGCATACAATAAGTGCTGCAAGAAGGGCTACAGTTCAGCAGTAAAAATGCGGCTAAATATAAATGCCCTCGTACGACGCTGCCCGGGAAACACTGCTGCAATCCGACGCCGTCTAAGACTTAAGCCCATCGTGACCGCGGTGCATGAAATGAGAGGGAATGATCAAAGAAAAAAGAGGGGGGAAAGCCCCCTAGGCTTTGGGGCTTTCGAAAAGGGGAGTGAGAAAGAACAGCCCCGAACAGCGGGAATTTCCCAGGGGGTAGGGAAAAGTGAACCTACATGAACATAAAAGGGGGTAACTGAAGGAAGACAAGAGTAAAGTGGCGAAGAAAAAAGGAGGGAGCAAACAGGGGGGCGAACGAATAAAAAGTCTACTAATCGTGACCATTCTATAAATGGAAGGATTGTGGTAATCGGAGAGCGAATAGTAAGAAGGCAATGGGCATCACGGCGATCAAAAAGGATGGAACTTTTGCTTCTGTAAGAGGCCTCAACAGGGAAGAGCGAAAAAGCACCAAGGCACAAACGTAACCCTTGGTGTTTGGATAATTTAAGGCTAGAGAGATACAGGAGAGGCCGGGGAAAAATCTGGTCGCCAAATCGATTTTCGATAAAACGGGGGCAAATGTAGCGAACAGATTCGACGACCTCCCCAGGAAAGATGGAAAGGGGTTTTAAGAAGGTTTACCCGGGCTGTGACAAGTTCCTTCAGAAAAGGTAATGTGATTTTTCCAGGTTAACCGACGGTCAAAGAGAAGGCCTAAAACCTGACTGTACACGTTCGGGATAGGGGAGCCATAGAGATACAAAGGATGAGGGAGAAACAGAGCGTCAGTGAAAGAAATTTTGGTGAGTTTTGGTACTTGAAAAATTTAAACCCAGTGTGGTGGCCCAAGGGGAAACACGGTCGACCGCATGCTGGAGAGAAACTGCAATAAGGGAAGTCACCCTGCACAAGCAAAGCGAAGTCATAAACATAGAGTGTGACCAAATATGGGTGGAAGAACGAGGCCAAAATCATTTTTAGCAAGGAGAAAAGTGTTGTGCTTAGAACACATCCCTGGGGGCACCTTCATTTGGACAAGCCCGGGGGAAAGAACTTTTTGACTCAACAGGGAAATGTTGTCATTTAAAAAAGTTCTTAAGGAAGGAGGGTAATTCCCTGGGAGGCCTAAGGAAGGGCCTGGCCAAAAATATTATACCTCCAAGTTTGTCATATCCTTCCAAGGTAAAAAAAATTGAAATAACTGGGATTATTCGCAAAGGCTTACGAAAAACGTACCCAAACGTATAGGGGGCTATGGTAAACGCCCCCTTACAAAGCCATATTGACTAGGGGAGAACTGTTCGACTCAAAATACCACATTAACGCGATTTACGAGGCGTTCCATCCCTTTGCAAACTGAACTTTTAAAGACAGGGGCGATAGTGGGGGGCATCATCCCTGTATACCCGGTTTGGGGAAAGGGAGAACAATGCAATTTCCACAGCGGGGGAAGAACCCTTGTGCCCAAATAAGATTGAAGAGTGTAAAGGCTAAAAAGGGGCTGACCGATGTAAATTTGTAACATCAAATATGAATTCATCAGGCCCAGCTGCCGTGACGGCAAGCTGAAGGTTGCCTCCAGTTCTGGAAGGAAAAAGGGGGCCATTATACTGTTTTTCCCGGAGAAGAAAAGTCCAAGGGTACTAACCCTGGCAGATTTTTGGGGAAAGAAACGGGGGGCAAGATGGGCCCTCGGAAATAGGGACCAGATGTGTCCAATTCAATGGAAACGCGAGAGGGTTTGCTAACAACCCAGTGCCCCCGTAGAACAGGGCCGGGTCAGGAAGTTTTTCCACTCTTTTTTCCTCATTTTTTTTTCCAGATGCACTCATAGAAGAAGCAGGGGGTATGGTGGAAACATACCGCAACAAGGTTTAGCCCCACGAGACACGGCGAGCTTGCACCTTCGCTTAAAATCAACAAGCCCTCTCAGGGGTTTTCATGTACCGAAACCTGCCCCATGCACCCTTTTTCAAACGTCTGCACGAGCACAGCGGGAAGCCCACCAAGGCACGCACTTCTGAAATCCTGCCGGGGTTTTTGGGGTAAAAATGAGAAGCTGCGTTAAACGATGTCGAGAAAGTGTAGGAGCTCATAAATGGAGGATAAGAAGGAACCTCACTAAAACAGTGGGGTGTGAAAAGACCCCAATTTGCCCATCAAATTCCACGGGGGGTACGGGAAGGGTGGGATAGAAAGGGAGAAGTAAGAATATGGGGAAAATGACGTGTCATGAAGCGGTAGAACAGCCCGGGTGAAGTCTAGTGCAGTGGGGGGAAACAACTGATAGATCGATGCAAGAGAGAGTATAGTACAGGATCAAAAATGGGGGGAGTACCCTTTTTTAAAACATGGAGGGGGTGAGGGGCAAGAAAAGTCCAACGAATGCCACTAGTCACAATGAGACCCCCCCCGGGGAAAATGGGGGGCATTAAAATCACCAAGTAACAAAGTGGGGTGGAAAGGATAAAACAAAAAGGCAAAGCGGGGAAAAAATGCCGAGAAGGAAGAGATATAAAGAACATATTGAAACCATTTATTCAAATGGATAGGGGCTGCAGTGTAATCAGCGGGTATGGACAAATAGTTAAACATAGAATATCTTTGCGTAAAGAAGGGCACTTTCTTAAAGGCCCATCGAAAAGGATCCGAAGAATAAAATAAATTATAGCCTGAATAGGATGGAAAACACCGAGTGTAATTTTTGGGTTCTTGTAAGCAAGCACCAACGGGGGAAAAACCGGAAAGAAACATCTGAAGCTCACCCCTTTTCCCCCCTGAGGCCGCGGATATTCCACTGTAAATAGGCCATGATTTCGATGAAAAAAAAATCAAATCGTAGGTAAAGGCCCTACGGACTAGAGGGGGTTTGAAAATCAACGTGTGGTGGGATTGGAAATGTTCAAGTAGCGAAGGAACGGAGCTTTTCGAAAAATGGGGTTTGAAGATGGAGGGGAAGGGAAGAAAGAAAGGAAGTGAATCGGCCATTTTAAGGTTTAGCTCGCAATATATCTGAAAAGGCTTCAAAATGTTCTGAAAAACAAAGTTATGGGAAACCAATTTGGGGATAGGAGGAGGGGTGAGTAAAGATTGGGGCAGTATGGACGTACCAAAGAGAGGGGGAGGGAAAAGGTAAGGGGCTGGAGATGAAGTGTGGGGGGGGACAAAGAGGAGAAACCTGGGGGGTGACAGAAAAGGGGGAAAATTGGGAGGGACGGGGGTGGAAGGCATAGACGAGGAAGGGTGAATCTCCACCTTGAATAGAGCCAGAGAGAGGGGGGAAAAATAGGTACAAACTGGAATAACGTGGGGGAAGGGGAAGAAGGGAAGGAGGGGGAAAGAAGATTTTTAGCAATGTGGGTTTTTTGGACTTTCTGATAAGGGGGGATTGGTATTAGGGGTCGTAAAAAGGTCTTGTCGAACTGGGGTTGGAGGGAAGGACGCGAAATTGAGAACAGACTGATTTTTATCGGGACTCCCGAAGCCAAGGGGCGCAAAAGGATTAGAAGCCGTAATGCTTTGGGGGGGGTAAAAACAGAGGGGGCTGCAGAAATGGGGCCCCAGAAGTGGGGGATGTTTTGGAACACAGAAAAGAAAAACGGGTAGTCTCCCTTGGAGGCGGGGATGAGTAACGCCTAGCAAAGGGAGACCTTTTGCCTCTTTGAGGGAAAAGATTTCACGTTTATTTAAGTAGACCCGGGGAAAAGGGGGGATTTTACAAGGGGGGAGCTTCATTTCAATTTAAAGGGAAAAGGAGGTTGACTGCACGAGTATTAGTGGTTGTCGCACCACAGACTGGGCATTCGGCCTAGACTGCAAAATTTTGCTGGGTGACCAAAACGCCACAATTTCTACTTGTTCGGGTTTGGGATCCCTTTCGAACTTTTAACCGATGCCCGCGACATAAAGGACGGGAGTTCCGCTGTCAAAAAAATTAAAAGAGCCACATTGCAAGGGTACGTCTCCCCCCCCCTGGCAGGAAGGGCATAATGTCTACTTTGAGGGTTTGGGGGATCCTGGAGTTCCCCTGTTCAAAAATGCATTGCCACATACGGGAAATCGTTGACTATGGTATGGGGAAAGACAGTACCACTACAAGAATTGGAGAAAGATTTTTTCAATTGATAGGAGTAGTATCGATATTCGAAAAGGAGAAAAATTTTACTGGGTACATTCTGGACAGTGACGTGGCTACCGCCTTGAGAGCGTGAAATGAAATACCGCCAACATACGCAACGCTTTTCAATACATGGTCAAAAGGGAGGCAGAAGAAGAAGTTGGTCTTAAAGTAAAGAATTTTAGTCCATTGTTGGGCCAAACGAGCTGGAGAGGATGCTTGACGTGTCGGGCGTTTCCGAGTAAATGGGGAAAGGGAACACGGAGCATCATCAGGAGATTGACGTTGGCGTTAGGAGTAGGAAAAGAGTTGGTCCGGCTAAATGGGGGGGGGGGCGATTCGAAAATTGCCTTACCGAGAGGGAGAACCGGAAGAAGCAAAGGAAGCGGAGTTCAGACAAAACAAGGGGTCAGTCGAAGCCCCGTACCTGAACGGGGGAGAAACAGCACCAGCAAGAGGTACAGGGGCATCAGAGTGTCCAAGGGGTCTAAAAACAAGCAGGGGGCAGAATGGGGGGCGGTTTCAAGAAGGGGCCCGGGGGGATGGTTTTTTGGACTAGGGGCGCCATGGTTAGGTTCTCCTTTGCTTTTTTTTTTTTAAAAAAAAAAAAGAAAGAAGAAAAGAAAATAAAAACAAAAAAAAGAAAAAAAAAAGGGGGGGGGCGGGGAGGAATAGTTTCCCCCCGGGGAATAAAGGGGCCCGGGAAACTCCCTCCGCCCCAAAGGACTGACCCGCTAGTAGCGCAATGCAGCATGGGAACCCTGCCATACCCTTTACCCTTCATGCCAGAAACCCCAATCCGGGAAGCAACCTCACATCTGCCGAGCTACCTCGGGGGACAAAAAAGAGGGCGGCCCGGGTATCCCCCAAAACAACCCCTTCACCACCACCCCCCGAATCCGAAAGGGGGGCTTCCAGAGATACACCCGTCGCCCAAAAAAACCCAAAGCTACTCCGGGGTACCGGGGAGGGATCGGGGCAAAACCCAGGCAATCCAGATTCCACGGCAAACTAGCCCCCCGGGGGGCCAAAAAACCTCAAAGGGAAAGGATCGACCCCCCGGGTTCCTTTCCCCACCTAGGGAAAACCGCCTTGGGGGAAATCACGAAGGCAAAAAAAAGGAAAGGGGAAAAAGGGGGGGGTGAGGAGGAGGAGGAATGGAAAAAGGGAGGATGGGAGGATGGGATAGGGGGGGGGAGAATGGGGGGGAATTAGGTTTTGGGGCTAGGAAGAAGACCGACAGGGGAATTCCTCAGACCAAGAGCCTCTTCACCACGCCAAGGAGCCCCCCTTGAAGAGGGCAAACTAATATTTTTAATCACAGAAAATGGGAAATTTTTGCATCATAGAAAATGGGAAAAAATTGAAGGGGAACTATTATAATTTTAATCATAGAAAATGGGAAAATTTTCATTACAGAAAACGAATATATTTCGAGGACAAACTAATATTTTTAATCACAGAAAATGGGAAATTTTTGCATCATAGAAAATGGGAAAAAAATGAAGGGGAACAACTATAATTTTAATCATAGAAAATGGGAAAATTTTCATTACAGAAAACGAATATATTTCGAGGACAAACTAATATTTTTAATCACAGAAAATGGGAAATTTTTGCATCATAGAAAATGGGAAAAAATTGAAGGGGAACTATTATAATTTTAATCATAGAAAAAGGGAATTTGCTCACAGACAAACAAATTTGCAAGGACATTCTTTTTAATCACAGAATATGGAAAATTCACAGAAAACCATCTGGAGGAGGAATTATTTTTGATAGAAATAGGAATTATTTGTATCAAAATTTTTATATTTGGATGATTATAATTAACTAAATACTTGGAGGAGGAACTAGCTTTCTCAGAAAATGGGGAACTTTTGCCTAACACTATTACAAAAAGGAACTATTATATTTTCATAGAAAACGGTCCTTTTCACACGCTATCATGGAAAAAATTAAATAGGATTATATTTTGAACATGAAAATTGGAACTTTTTAGAATTACAGAAAACATCTTGAGGGATAATTTTCTCTAGATTATAATTAAAATCAAGCAGTACACCCATAAGGGTACATATCAAATATTTTTTCATATTACAGAAAATGAAAAAAACTGTATATACTTAAAGCATAACTACCGTATTAATAGAAATGGAAAAATAACTCTTCTTGAATCACAGAAAAATGCCAAAGATTTCAGCGTGAAATATAAATTTTAGTTTAAGGACTTGTAAGTCCGCTAGGTCCACCAGTTTCTTGGATCACCTTTAAGCCAGCAACATCCACCATTTATGGGACGAGGAATTCTATCAACAGCAGGAATTGACTCCAAACTTTCCAGTATTGTGTTGGAGCAGAGCTGCATTCTCGTGGAAGCTGGAACTTGTGTGATAGCTCATCATGTATGCCTGGAATATAGCGGAAGATGGTATAATGTCCTTGGGTAACCCATCCTAATAACTGTCAGTTTCACAGAGTTTGCTGCTCCTTTATTAGTTGGGCTAAGACGAAAAACTATAAATATAAGAGATAAAAAAAAAAATCTGCCGAGCGAACTGAAAATTGCGACCAATCTCTGCGTGACTTATTTAACACAGTCATATTTCAACTGTGCGAGGCGCTATCAACAGCCACCCATTTGACAGTTTTCACAATGTCATGTCTGCCCCTACCCAGCCTAGTGACTTGTCCTACCTCATAACCATAATTTTTGAGGGGTGAACTGGTGCTAGGGAAGAGCTTCGGTCAGACTGACCATAAACTCCAGAAGCGGGTCATCATATGTTTAAGACCAGCGTCCTGTTTCCTGATAAATCTTACCTAACCGTAATAGCCAGTTCTCAGAACTATTCAGAAAACCTTATAAAAGTTCCCTTACACTTCATTAACGCTACCTTCCTTCCCATAGTCAGACACCATCCTATAACAATTTGCCCTCCCTCTCCACAACCAGTGATGCAACCACCCTTTACATTCTCCCTCCCCCCCAGTTTCCACAGAAAATTATCCACTTACGCTAATTAGCAACTGAGGTTACAACACCCCTCAGAACTGGCTGTTAGGACTGTGTTCCCGTCCGAGTGCCGTCACACAGTCTATATATATTCGCAGTTATACATATATGAAGCCTAGAACACAACTTTGCGAATATTTCTGGCATGGGAAAATTCTGTCTGTGCAAGCTACGAGCTGCTAATTAAGCTCCGAGTTCATTCATTTTGAAATATATCAATATATATTATATATATATATATATATATATATATATATATATATATATATATATATATTTCTTTTGGTTTATATAAATTGGATTCCTTATAATTAATAAAATTTGAGAAGAATTTGATACATTAGACAAGTAAAACATCTTAATGCTTGGGTAGAGTATCTGTTGTGTTTCACAGAGTCGAGTGTTGTAACGTGACTGAGGTGTAGTCTTGCCCTTTTATGCCTTCCTGTTGACGTTTTATTTGTATAGTTCCTTGATAATGTAAGAAGTCACGAAAACGCTCGGAATTTCACTATTTTATCACCTGTTTACTGTGATCTTATATATATATATATATATATATATATATATATATATTATATATATATATAATATATAATTAGTACTGCACGAGTATCAACGTTTCGGTGAAAATTCAGTTACCTTCAGGAATTCTCGGGAAACAAATACTAGCAACTTAAAGAAGATAAAGCAATTTACACTGACAGATTAAAATAAAAAATAGGCTTACCTCTCATAAGGTACCTGCTTTTACTAGGAGGAAAAATATAACAGTGAATTGTGCACCAGAACGTCAGGGGATGGAAGAACTATTTTAAGGCGAAGAAGATTGAAGGCAATAACACTGTCATGAAGTTCAGATTTAAATTTCCAGTTCCCTAAGAATCTCTCTAGAATGTCCTAGCTGTAATTTTTAAATTCCTCTTCCCCTATATTATGACTGATTTCTAAGAAATAAAGTGATTTTACTAGAGGCGAGAATGTTCTCGATACGAGTTCTCCAAGTTTACAAATTTTCAAATTTTAGCTCTAAAACTTAGGAGAGTTTTCCTGAGATTTTTTAAAGTTTTTTTTTAAAGTATGTGAACTAATATGCTATTAAAAACAGTGGAGATGCAATTGTATCTTAAAACCGGAAGTGATTACCTATCTAAAGTATTGTTTGCAAGTTTTATAACTTACGTAAACGTGAAAAGCAAGTGTGATGCGAAGGATGTCCTTAGGGACTGTAACCAGAGGTACTTGGTTTCTCATCTGAAGGAATTCAGCATCTGAAAGGCAACGGATAGAAATTTTAACATTTCCAGGAATTTTCACATTAAATGAACACCAATTAGGCCAAAATAAATAGAACCTATCTTTATGGTATTCCCCATTAATATACTTAAAGAGAAAAAATGTAGACCTATTCCGGTGAATAAGAGTTTACGGAATACTGTACTAATAAACCTTTTAAATGTTCAATATTGACATCAATAACCCGTTTTCCCTTCCTACACTGAATACATTTTGTGCTTGAAATTTAAATATTCCATAATTCTCAAAACGCAGAATAAAGAACATTTTTTTTTTAATAATTAAAGACTTCGTCATCCAACCAGATTTCAAAGAGAAGCCCAGTTTATGCATTGTGAAAAAGTAAAAGATGAAGGGGGTATATTAATTCCTGACTGGTGTCCAGTTACAGTTTACTCGCATAACAGTAGCTGAGAGTTGCCTCAAAATCCAATTTGAGGTGAATGCGTGTCATGAAGTAATAATGCAGACGCTGCTGCTGTATTCTTCAGAGGAGCCTTGCCAGGAACTGCAGTTCGAGCTTCAATAATGCTCACTAGATAACCTGCCTCGCCTCTGGGGAAAGATTTCTTCTGAAAGAAATGTTTTAAAGAGTTAAAAAATCTGAATTTATTATGAAAATTCACAAATAACCCTCGCTTAGGAAACTTTTGACGACGTTTCCCACCGACTTAGACCCTCCAGGACCTGACAATGGTCCAGGGTGGAGTGAAACGTCGTAAAAAATTTCTCTCCTTGGCACGGGTTATTGGTGAATTGTTTCAGTCATGGTATTCTGACTTTCCTTCATTAAAATATTTAATCGAATTTCACATGCAGAATAAAATCCTCCATTAAGAATTCTTGCTAAACGTCTGTACAAGAGCCGAGCCCGTTAAGTGTCACATACAGCTTGGAAAGCACCCAAGTCCTGTCCAAAGGGAGGACAGGTTCAACTCCTTGGATGAAGAGCCTCTCACTGGCATGAAGGAAACTCCCTAGATGGTAATCCTCGCAAACGACATTGATAAACCGAGAAAATATATTGAAACATTGATCTATATTATATAATTACGAGATATATGCAAGATAAGCCACGGGGGGTGAAAAATCTTTAGCTCAAGTACCTTCGCACTTCTCAGTACGTCATCAGGAGCTATGCAATGTTGCAAGGCAGCAACAGAAGGAAGGGAAGTTCTCAGAGTAGCGCAGTGCGGGTGTGTCACCGGCCGTAGTCTCTCACTTAGAATTCTGAGAGGCTGCGGCCGGTGACATACCCGCACTGCGCTACTCTGAGAACTTCCCCTCGTCCTGTTGCTGCCTTGCAACATTGCATAGCTCCTGATGGCGCACTGAGAAGTGCGAAAGTACTGGAGCTAAAGATTTCCACCCCCGTGGCTTGTCTTGCATAGTTAAGATCGCCTGTCTGCAATTGTTTGCATATATATATATATATATAATATATATATATATATATATATATATATATATATATATATATATATATATATATATAATATAATTGGTCAGTTAACAAGAACTCGTTTAAAATTAAGTCATTTCTAAAATTTTGTCTTATACGTTTAAAGATATATTTTTTCATTCATGTTAATGTAAAAATTAATAATTTTGTAACAAAAGAAACTTAGAAAACTTAACCTTATTTTAACAAGCGCAATTTAATTTAGCCTAATCCAATTAAATATATTGTAGATAAGTTTACAATAATTTAATAAACACAATGAAATATTTTTTTTTTCACTAGGATCAGAATGATTAGAGAAATTATTGCATACACAAATTTTCGCTAGCCTTATTCGGCAACAAAAGCGTTGAACATTAAAATGGTATAAAATACCGACAGGTTGTTAGGTAAGACACATATGCAACGGTTAGGTATCTTTATTATGAAACGTTTCGCCTACACAGTAGGCTTCTTCAGTCAAGTACAGAAAAGTTGATAGAAGCAGAAGATACTTGAAGACGATGTAATCAGTCCATCACCCTTAAGTTTTGAGGTGGTCAGTCCCTCAGTCTGGAGAAGAGCATTGTTCCATAGTATGAAACAATATGGAGATGAAGTGACAGGATGGAGCTTTTTATAGCGCCAAGAGGTGAGACGTAGGCCACTAGGAGAGGTAAGAACTCAGATGTTGTAATAAAGTTGGTAGAATTACCGACAATATGTAAAGTAAAAGGACACAAGTGCAACTAATGTGACATTTATTGTGGCAACGTTTCGCTCTCCAGGAGCTTTATCAAGCCATTACAAACAATACATGGACACAGAGGGTATATAAAGGCTCAGAGTGAGGTGAATACTAGTGAGGTACCATTTCGATGTTCACTAGTGGTAGTAGTAGTAGTAGTAGTAGTGGTAGTGACAAAAGTAATGCAATATGGTAGAGCAATTAATTTGTACATGAGTAAAAGGATATAAAAGCTACTACTTGGGTAACATAAAAATAGGTTGGACAAATATAAACTGGAATGAGGCGGCTTGTTTCAGTGTTCACTCTCTGTGCTTTGTGTAGTATAACAGGAGAGACTATGTGATGGCAGGGTTTACTGTTTTCAGGAGGATTCTTGCTAAGACTTCGGAGATGGTGAAGCTGCCGTTGTTTTGTATAATTGTATTTGAAACAGCGATCAGTGCTGATTCAAGGCACTTGCGTGTGCGGAAATTAGTTTCTTTTATCACTAATTGGGCGTCTCTGAATTTCATAAGATGATTGGTGGAATTTCGGTGTTGTACACAGGCGTTGTTTAAGTTGTCGTTCCTACATGCGTATATGTGTTCATTGAGGCGGGTGTCGAGGTTTCTTGCTGTTTCACCTACGTAGATCTCCACAGGGTATAGTGTAAACTCCTGCATTGACTGGTTCGTGGTGCTTGGGTTTTGTCCTGGTTAGATCCTTTATTGAAGTGGTAGAAGCGATGGCGACTCTGGTGTTAGCTTGTGAAAGTACTTTTGAGACGTTTAGTGCAACCTGGCTGTTGGGAAGAATTATAACTTTGTTGGGAGCGGTGTTGATGCGTGGAGAATTGATGATCTGAAGAGCTCTTTTCTTGCAGTCTTGGTGAAAAAAGAAGGAAATTGTAACTCAGTGAATGTTTGGTGAATGTAAGTACATTCCTCGTCAAGAAACTCAGGACTACAAATTCGGTATGCTCTTAGGAAAAACCCGATGATGATGCCTCTTTTGGTCTTGGTATCTTGACTGGAATAGAAGTGTGTGAGATCATTTTTATTGGTGGGTTTCCGATAAACTTGAAATCTTAGGTTGTTGTCTACTATATTTGTCCAACCTATTTTTATGTTACCCAAGTAGTAGCTTTTATATCCTTTTACTCATGTACAAATTAATTGCTCTACCATATTGCATTACTTTTGTCACTACCACTACTACTACTACTACTACCACTAGTGAACATCGAAATGGTACCTCACTAGTATTCACCTCACTCTGAGCCTTTATATACCCTCTGTGTCCATGTATTGTTTGTAATGGCTTGATAAAGCTCCTGGAGAGCGAAACGTTGCCACAATAAATGTCACATTAGTTGCACTTGTGTCCTTTTACTTTACAACTCAGATGTTGAAAGGTCAGGTCCCTCTCAAATCCAGCCGCTCTCACTAGTGGAAGTTGTCGAAGTTGATTGTAGGTCTGTACCAAGATACCCTTGTGTTGCAGTGTCTGACAATTGAACATTAAAATGGTATAAAATACCGACAGGTTGTTAGGTAAGACACATATGCAACAGTTAGGTATCTTTATTATGAAACGTTTCGCCTACACAGTAGGCTTCTTCAGTCAAGTACAGAAAAGTTGATAGAAGCAGAAGATACTTGAAGACGATGTAATCTTTAAGGGTGATGGACTGATTACATCGTCTTCAAGTATCTTCTGCTTCTATCAACTTTTCTGTACTTGACTGAAGAAGCCTACTGTGTAGGCGAAACGTTTCATAATAAAGATACCTAACTGTTGCATATGTGTCTTACCTAACAACCTGTCGGTATTTTATACCATTTTAATGTTCAATTTGTCAGACACTGCAACACAAGTGTATCTTGGTACAGACCTGCAATCAACTTCGACAACTTCCACTAGTGAGAGCGGCTGGATTTGAGAGGGACCTGACCTTTCAACATCTGAGTTCTTACCTCTCCTAGTGGCCTACGTCTCACCTCTTGGCGTGTTTGGATTCACAAAATTTTTGACTGACTACTTTTACTCATCTTGGTATGTTGATCAACTGGACGTCTGAGTTCATTTCATTTTCTATTGTTTTAAGTTCAATTTCTGTATTTTTTCTCTGCCAGTTTGTCTCTCTAGATATCTATATTTTTCCTTCTCCACATTTTGATTTTAAATCCTCCTTCCCTTTCTCTCTCTCTCTCTCTCTCTCTCTCTCTCTTCTCTCTCTCTCTCTCTCTCTCTCTCTCTCTCTCTCTCTCTCTCTCTCTCTCTCTCTCTCTCTCACCCTCTCAGCCAACGCATCTAAAGTGGCTTGTGACATTTCTCCACGATTTGATTCACTATAATTTAATCTGAGCGCTTCCAGCTACAAATGATTGGATTATCCGTCTGAGCTTCTAGTGTTCCATGGGCTGTTATGTAGGGAGGACGGAGAAACTGCTGCTGCTCATTATAGTCATTAAGAACCGAGTAAAATTGCAGGGGTCAAACAGCGCCTTGTGAAAGTGTAATGACTACGTTTGACGAAGAAGAGGTAGCTCCATTTTCTTGCATCAAGAGCCTTTAACCATTACTCAGACACCCCTTTTCAATGGTACTCATGCTCAGGTGATCTGCCGCAAGCGTTGCCAGTTTTCCCAATTAGTGGTTGTATACTTCACTTACTTATTGGGTTAAGACGCTGTATTCTACAGATTCGGCGCTTTCTCTTTGTAATAAATGAAGACTAGAAACCACCTATTTGTTGCTATAGGAACATAACATATTCCACTTCGTACCAATAGGTTTTTACA